AAAATACTTTGAAAATCTTGTCTAAATAGTTTTTAAAAAGTTAGTTTATAAGCTATCTTTTTAACTTGTTAATATTACAATTTAAAAAACTAAAAATAATAATAATAAGTTGGGTTATCGCTAGCTACGATGCGCCAAACACACGACATAGATTAGAATGCAATGAAAATATCCTTTAGTTAGATATTTTGTTTAGGATATTGTTATATATTTGAATAGTAATTTATTAATATCAAAGAACATATTTGTCATATAGCTATATAACTTAATCCAATATGAGCATCAAATAAAATGTACGATTGACTTTTATATTCTTATAAACCAATCTAAAAAACCATAGGGGTTTAAAGGGGGTAAAGTAGGCAGCTGCATATGGTTTAATTTTTTTTATTTAAAAATATAAAATTATAATAAAGATAAGGGCTTTCTTTTATTCTTATTTGTCCTGAGCCTTTAAACATATTTCATATTTTTCAGGACCAGTTCTGTAAAAAAACAATTATATTGGAATATCATAAAACCATCCTATTACTATCTTCTTCATATTATTCATTTTATTCCATTAATTTGTCTTGCCATTGCATCCAAACCAAACAAACTCTTATATTTTTTTAACAATTAAAGTTTTTATTCATAATTAATCTATGAATCATGTATAAATCTTCTATCACTTTATGCATGTACAAACTTCATACATTTTTCTAACAAATTTAATAGTAAGTTTGTACGAAATTCAATTGGTATATAAATAAACACTAACCCTTGTTTTAAATTTAATTCTCTTTAGGCCGATTTTTGGAAGAAAAAAAAATTATTGTATCATTCTAGCTTTATTCAACCATTTAGGCAATTGGGGACCAATACTAGTTGGCCTAGTCCCCTAAATTATGAACAAAATAAATGAATCTCACTTATGTTATATCGTAATAAAATGGGTAATTAAGACATATCGGTGATTATTCCTTAAAACTTTCTATTGATGTTGTTAGAAGATTATAGATTTCTACAGTTTCACTAATTGTCTAAACAGATAGACTATAGGAGATTTTTAGAGGACAATTGACTCATTTAGAATAATGTTTGAGAATATTTTATTTGAAAATGACAAAATTTGTGACTAAGAAAGTGAAAAGAAAATGAGTTGTATATATTGAAAGATGATAACAATACACAATGCACGCATTCCAAGAAAGATAAAGTTTTATGCCATTTTATCAACGCCTTCCTCCTCAGTCTACTCACCCTCATCATCTTATTCTTCATCCTTTACAATTCACCAAAAAAAGGTGATTAATTGATTACAAATCATCTCGTTTTTTCCTTTTCTTTTCTGTTTTTGACTTTCGATCATCGAATAATGCTCTAATCAATTCATAAATCTCTCTCTTTCTTTTCAGGATTGAATCTATTTCACTTCACCCCCAATTGATTCTCTACAGCTTCCCTTGACTTGATCTAAAGGTAAATCAAATCAAATCAAATCCCCTTTTCAATTTCCATCATCACCCTCCAACTACTACTGTTCATGTTCATGTCAAATTTTCTGTTTACACTTCGATTTCAGTCAAATCAACATATGATTAAATACATTGGTTTCTTAATTCATATTGAATATATGATAAAATTTTGATTACTTGCACTCGATTTTTAACTAAAATATAAAATTTTTAAATAAAATTATATTTTAATATACATCACATCATATACTTTTTAATTTTTTTTTCTCTTTATTAAAATACAGCTCAAATCCATACAGAAAACCACCATGTCATCATTTGCCACAGCTGAAGTGTGCGATGCACATGCATCCCACCTAGCAAGTGGTGATTTGCGGGCCCTACAGCCCATATTCAAAATCTACGGGCAATGTCGGATCTTTTCAGGGCCCGTAGTCACACTCAAAGTGTTTGAAGATAACGTGTTGGTTCGAGAGCATCTGGAGTCCAAAGGAGAAGGGAGAGTTCTTGTGATTGATGGTGGTGGTAGCATGAGATGTGCACTTGTGGGTGGAAATTTGGGCCAATTGGCCCAAAACAATGGGTGGGTTGGGGTTGTGGTCAATGGGTGCATTCGAGATGTTGATGAGATCAATGGGTGTGATATTGGGGTTCGGGCTTTGGCTTCGCATCCTCAAAAGTCGTATAAAAGAGGTAATGGTGAAAAGGGTGTGCCGGTTCATATTGGTGGGACTTTGATTCATGATGGGGAGTGGTTGTATGCTGATAGTGATGGGATTCTTGTTTCGAAAACTGAGTTGTCTTTATAATTTTGTTGGAACTGTAAAACATGTAATACATGTATTAACTGAATAATAAAACTTAATAAAACATGTTGTGTTTTTTTGTATTTTGTCATTATACATAATGTCAAACTTATCCCATCGTTAATCACTAAATTAATGAGTCAAACAAAGTATAATGGTCTATGGTCTAATCACTATATGAAATTTAATGGTTGAATTAATAACAAAACTATAAAAGGGGTAAGAAATGGATATTTTTAAAAATACAAGGAAGAAACCGGAAATATTTAGCAAAACCCATCGGGGAGAAAGAGAACGAGAGGAGGGAAAAAACGGTCATTCCGTGATGGCTTATAAGAGAAGCACCAGCACCGCCGTCGCCGGCTCTGCCTCCGCCACCGTAGGCGGCGACAGCTTACTGGAGAAGATACCGGAAAACTTACTCAATGAAATCTTCTTAAAGTTGGAACCGGAGACACTGTCTTCGCTCAGCTCGTTAGCATGCGTTTCACGAATCCTTCAATCGTCCGTCAACAACGTTCTCTCCTCCTTCTCGTCCGTAGATCTCTCCGTGAGTTTTTCTACATTTACCATATCGCTCATCACTTAATTTTGTTCTTCGATATCTTAAAACCCTAAGTCCCAAATATTTGCAATTGGGTGGGGATTTGTGGCAGGCGTTTTCTCTAGATACACAGACATTCGATGGAATTAGAAGAAAGTTAGGCAATATCCAGAAGATCACCTTAGATTGCCTTCGCCTCAGTGATTTTTCAATCAGAAACCTCCTTGGACCAGATGTTGAGGAATTGATTTTGTTGAAATGTTCTTCACTCTCCTGCAGATTTCTTTCTAGCATCGGAAGAACTTGCCCAAATTTAAGGTACAAGCTGGTATTACTTTCATTTAATAGTTGCTTTAATGGTTACTGAAATTTGACTAACGTAGTCATCTCTTGGCTCTTGCTGATTGAATTCAGAGTGCTTACACTGGAGTTTTCTGGCTTCATTGACAAATCTTCTGTATTCGATTTGAATTTCAGAGGCTCACTTGAAAATTGTCGATCCCTGGAGGTAAATGTGATTACATATCTCTTATCACTACTAATATGCTTTCAGTCACATGATTTGTCAATTATTTACCTTCCATTTACAGTCTCTGAAAATCAAAATCCGGGGAGGTGAAATCAACGATTACAGCTTCATGCTACTCGGTATCTACCACTTGCTCCCAAAAACCATTAAGATCCTTAAACTTCAACCATCTATTTCATTAGACACTCTTGTGTTCTTCAGAACAATCCCCATTCCTCATACAACTTTTAGCCAAACATTAACACAAATCTCATTAGTATTAGACACCATCACAGATCTCCTTCTCCACACCATCACACACTCTCTCCCTCTTCTAACTGACCTCGATCTCAAAGACCAACCATTGTCGGACACATCAGACGACCTATCTGACCTAGGAATTCAATCACTAATCCATTGTAAAAACCTAACTCACCTCTCTCTTATCCGAATTCGCCACCATAGTTCCACCTCATTCAAAAGAACAACCGATATGGGCTTCTTTTTGCTTTCCGAGGGTTGTAAACAACTGGAATCCGTTCGTCTTTCCGGGTTTTCAAAAGTTAGCGATGCTGGATTCACTTCAATTCTCAATTCCTGTTCCAATCTGAAAAAATTCGAGATCCAAAACACGTATCTTTTGACTGATTTGACATTCCAAGATGTCAGTAAAGTTCCTAGGGTTCTTGAAGAGGTGAAATTGGTGTCTTGTAATTCGATAACAAGTGAAGGAGTACATGAAATCGCTAGTTGTAGTGGATTAAAGATTCTTGATTTGTTCGGGTGTAAAAGTGTAGCAGATTCCTGCCTTGGAAACATTTCAAAACTTAGACTTTTAACTTCCTTAAACTTATCTGGGGCAGATGTTACCGATTCCGGGATGGTAATTTTAGGTAAAATTCATGCCCCAATTACATTCCTGTCTTTAAGAGGTTGCAAAAGGGTAACCGATAAAGGAATCGGTCATCTATTATCAAACAGAAATATTGGGAATAATTTGATGGCTCTTGATCTTGGTCATATGCCTGGAATCACTGATTCCGGTGTTGGCATTGTTGTTGATTCTTGTATTGGGCTGGTGGAATTGTGTATAAGGAATTGTTTTCATGTGACAGATGTGTCGATGAAGGTTTTGGGGTTGAAGGGGGGAATTAGGAGGGTTGATGTTTATAATTGTAGTGGGTTAACTGTTGGGTGTTTTGAGTTGTTGAAGAAGCCTTTGTTTCGTGGTTTACAGTGGATTGGAATTGGGAAGACACGTGTCATATGTGTAGGAGATGATGGGTTTGATGAGATTCATAGGGAGAGACCATGGTTGACTATTTGTGCTGATGGTTGTGAGGTTGGGTGTCATGATGGATGGCAATTTCATAAGTTTTAACGCTGAATTTATAATATGTTAAAAGAGATATACCCTTTTGTAAAAGTTATTATTAACATTGTAGTTTTACGTATTTGTTGATTTGTTCTTTTTATTATTTAATATTATTATTTATTGCTTAATAATAATATTTCTTCCTAGAGACTATTATCGGTTATGGGGTAAGAAACAGTTTTTTTATTTATCATTATTTACATCACAAATCTTTTGACAAAAATCCGAAACAAATAAAATTCTACAAAACACGTAAAACAATACAAAAAAGCTCTCTTGCTAAACAAATTAAGGTCGGTATACAGTATCGCCTGTTCATAAATTTAAGTGAACGAACACACACACACACACACAAAAAAAAAAAAAAAAAAAAAAAGGCATAATCTTATTTGCTCATGATTTAATAATTATCTATCTCCCCAGCAATGCTTGAAAATCTACAATCTGAAAAAGAAAAAACCATAAAATTCACAGAAAAGTCAAAAAGCTAAAATTTTGCTTATAATATTGTCTAAAGGAAAGTAAGATGCCTAAATAAACAAAGTTTCCATTTTCTAACCCTCATTTCTCTTCCAACCGATGCAGCACCGACTCTGCAAAACTTTGCTGCCTGCACATATATATTAAAAGACTTGAAACTTTGCTTATACTATTATTGCCTTCATTATAACATATAAAAGAATTGTGATGACATTTATTATTATAACCAGAGTAAATTACAAAATTTGGTCCTAGTGCTTCACTCAAAATTACAAGTTTGGTCCAATTTTTAAAGTCGTCCCTTAAGTTTGCATTTAATTGCAGATTTAGTCCCTATGACAATGAAATGCAAGTCTTAAATTGGACCAAAGTTGTGAGTTTGAGTAAATCATAGGGACCAAATCCGTAACAAAAATGTTAAGGGGAATTTTTTGTAAAAGAATGATAGAATTTGAACTTACTTGCGTTCCCTATGTTTTGGGCTGGGGCGAGAGTATTTCAAGTATCCATCCCAAGGAACCTTCTTAAGACCTGCCCGAACAGATATGATGTCCCTCACCCTACAAAATGGTACACAATTGTAATAACTTCAGAAACCAGGGGCATTTATGGTAATTTCATCATCATCCATGTATTTTAAGTTTTAACAAAAAAAAAATGTTCAATTCACCTCTCTGCAAACTCAATAGGTGTTTCTCTAGGCTTCATATTTTGAGGCTCAAGGTACCAAACATCACAAACCACAGCCCATGATGTCATCAACTGTAATAAATGAGTCGTGAAAGATTGTCTGCAAAACAAACACACACAGATAAAATTATAACACAATTCAATCCAAAAAATTATTTAAAAAAAAAAAAAATACTTGCTTTTTGCTATTCCAGAAAGCATCAACGAAGATTTTGTTGTACTTGATTGCAATTGGGCAAACAGTGGACCCAAGTTCAAATGCACCCTATATAATTTACAAATTACCAATAAATCAATATATATATATATATATATATATATATATATATATATATATATATATATATATATTGCTAAAACAGAAAAAAAAAATCTAATGGAACAGAAGGAATTATTTCTTGAAAATGCAATATATATCAATAAATGTACCTTTTTGAACATAACAGTGAATTGATTATTTACACAAGTTCCTTCAGGGAAGATAAGAAGAGGATTGTTATCAGCTCCTTCAACATGCTCCCTTAACCTAAAACCACAGCCTCATGTCACAACATTTTTTTTTTTTTTTTAAATATAAAATTTACAATTTTACATACTTTCTTGCTACAATTTCACGATCCTTTGCTTCGGAACGATTAAACCATATACACCCCAAACTATCCAAAATAGTGCTTTGTAGAAGTCCTATATATAATAAAAAAAACATTAAATAAATCATTTTCTTTAAAACACTATAAATGAAAATTATGTATGTGTACATATACTACATACCAACCCATCCGGGGTGTTTCTGCATGATAACAGCAAAAGCAGTCATTTGTTCTAAAACAATGAAATCAATCATTGATGTATGATTAGCCACAAACACCTGAAATTAATTTAATTCATCAGAGAAAACAATTATGATTAAAAAAAAATTCAGTAAATGCAAATAATTAATAACTTACCTGTTTAGGCCTTGCACATGGTCTAGGACCATGATACTTCACTACCCCTGTCCATGATGCAACAAAGAAGCTGCAAATTAACTCCACCAAAGCCCTCTGAATCCAAAATAGTCAAAATACTAGTCAGATTTATAAAGTTTTTTAAAGATGCCACAAGTAAAATGCATTTATAGTGTATACCTCTAGCCTTTTTCTTAACTTATCATGCCCTTTTAATAGCAAATGCACAGGAATATAACATGATAGGAAGATTATCCATCCTATTGTCAGAACAAGAACCCTGAGATATGAACAAACAATAAGCAAAGAAACCAAATGTTCAGTTTCTCATTATGCAGAGTTACATACAACAAACAGTTACCTTCCAGGGAAAAGAATCCCATATCTAACTACAACTCCCAAACACCACAAAGGGAATAAATATATATTCCAGTTCCAAGGCTCTGGAGGATTTGATTTGAAGCATCGTGTGAAAGAATCCTGCTCATGCAGATGGAATTTGATTAGTCACAACTAAAATCATGAATCGTCATCGTTAGGGAAGAAAAAAACGAATTCGCAGCGCAGAAAGCACACTAGACACAACTGTAACAGTATTTTTCAGATGATAGAACATCTAGTAGATCGAATGAGTCAATTCGCACGAATAGAAGAAGAAACATAAAAAATCAAGGCAAAATTAGAAAGGAGGATAAGATAAAAGAACACTTACATCGACAATGGCACCAGCCGCCTCCGTTAACGTCGGGGAGATGTCCAGCAAATCGCGCCTACACAAAATACGCAATCAATCGATCGAGCTTTCCAAATAACAATATAGACATATAGATTGATAAAATAGATTGATGGATGATTGAATGGTTACAAACGAAGCTTGGCGTGAGGTTGTGGAATGGAATCGGAGGGAAGGTAGTCTTCGATGTTGGGGCGATCTAGGTCTAGCTCGGAGCTTGATGAGGTTAGCTTGCTCATCTTGGTGCCACGTTCTGGAGTGGAGATAGAAGAAAGGGGGATTGAATTCTTGAAATCTTGACTGTTGACCATGGCTGCGATCTAACAAGATTTGGGCTGGGTTTTGAGTCAAACCGGTGAACCCATTTGACCAAGCATCCAAAAACTGGAATCAAACCATACAAAATAATATCCTATTGGTCCAGTTTTGGTTTAAATTACAATCATCAAATCAAACCTGCCCTACATCAAATATAAATTCTAATTTAATTTTAAACAAAAATAAAAAATACCTTTTTTTTTTTTTTATTACTTCAAACACAAATTTTCTATTTTATTCTTAAATTATTCGTTATTCAAAATTATCATTCCATAACCCTTTGATACAACTAACTAGAAATAAAATCGGCACACCGCTCTCTTCTTTTGCTAACTCAACCACTATGGTGATCACTGGCGAGAAACACCTTAGATTGGGTGGAGTGGTCTCAGTGAAACTCGGTAATTGCCGATGTGGACTCAGGGAACACTATCGCCCTACCTATTCGGTTTGCTCAACTCGGCATGGTAACTCGATATATGTGTTTAGGATGAGATGAGAGAGAAACACACTTTGAATTTGAAGTTGCAATAATGGTTCTTACAAATTCTCTTTTGCTATATTTTTTATCCTAAAATTAAAGGGGAAAATAATCTATTTACCCTTCAGTTTTATAATTGTTCACATTTATTTATTCTTTTTGATGTTTAATACATTTATTAATTCAAATAAACGTCCTTTATATAAGTTAATTATTAATATCCCTCAAAAATATAATATTATTTATAATGCTCATAAAATATAATCAATATTTTTTATTCCTTTATCTAAAAATGTCAGTGCAGCAAAATTAATTTATTTATCATTGTTATTTTACTTTGTTGCAATTAAAGAATATTTTAATAAAATGCTAAATTTAAATTGAGAAAAAAGTACGTCAACCCACCCGAAGACAACATAGTGAAGAGTGTGACAAAAAATAACATTAAACTCATAGGGTTTAATGAGGAGTTTAATAGAGAAAAATGTAATGATGTGTAATTATATACATTAAGGATTGTGCTATAAGGCTAAGGGGAGTGGGCCTCGCTAAGGAGGTCTCCACAAGTCGTCAAGGGCGTTAAACACCGCCCCTTGGCTTGTGTCACGGGGGTCGCCAACAATAGCTCGCAAACACCATAACGAGAAAAGAGAGAAAAAGATTTGGTGGTTGTTGCCTTGTGGATGCCGTAATCTCTCTCTACAATCGCTCTCCACAACCCTCCTTTCTCCTATCCATGACGTCTCCATCTCAAGCAAGTTTCCTTCTAAAAAAAACCTCAAAGGTCTCACCGTTTTCTCGATTCTAGGGTTCTAATTTCGATTTATGTGAAAACCCAATTTTTTTTTGTACAAACCGTTTAAAATCAATCAGTACAATCAAAGTTTGGATTCTGGGATGAGTTATTCTAAGTCATAACAAAACATTCAGGCCAAACACTCCATCAAAAGGAGTGTACGGGCGCAAACATGATTTTACGGTCGTACACCCTCACCCATCCCTCATGGCCGAAAACTCCCCCTATATAAGGGATACTTAGCCTTCATTCACCACATTACACACTTCAAGTCTAGAGCTCTCAATCTCTCTCTCCCCCTCTCTCTCTCTCTCTCTCTCACACACACACACACACACACACTCTCTCTCTCTACCATCGAGTTCCTTCAAGATCTTCAAGGATATAGGTGTTCCCACCTTGATTTGTTGCTACATTCCTTAATCTAGTGGTGAATCCATGTTTCATCTCATAAATTTCATCATTTGCTAGATCTTCATCTTTCATCAAGAACACATATATGAGTTCTTGGTGGCTAAAAACCCACTTCAAGCTTCCTTATAGTAAGTAACTGCCCCCTATGCCTTTTATCTACTTGAAATGCTTGATTTTTACCTTGAAATTGACCCAATAAGCATGAACACGAAGGGTTTATGACCATAAACCCATGTGTACGGCCATACACACCTCATTTGTGACATCCCCAAAATCACGGCCAGAAAAGACCGGTTTTGTTTATACTTTATTTCAAAATCAGAGTTATCTTTTAATAAAAGGGTTGCGGAATTTGTCCCAAAACAATAATATGATAAAGATTTATCAAAAGCATTTCCATAGAAATGTATTTCATTAAAAGACTCGGGATGTCATGTTCGTACAGATCAAAAGTATAAACAGTACAATATAAGCCTTACTACATTATTTCATATCTACAGGCCTATATCCGTAATCCCTCGTCCAAAACATCACACCTATGCTCATGCGCCACTACCTGTAATGCATAAAACTGAGTGGGTCAGGCTTGGGAGCCTGGTGAGCACATAGGGTTTTCAACCCACAATAAATAAGTTTATTAATTTCATCAATCAACAATAACCCGATTACCCGTTCCCGTTATCCTCACTTTACGTCCCTAAACACCTATCATAAGGGACCTAGCCTAAGGATTATCATCGGGACGGACACTACTGCTAAGGGGATTCCTCAGCAATAAATGTCCTAATAGGCAACCATGTGGGGGATGGAGTACACCGGTGAACACATCGTTCACAACACCTACAGGTTGCGAACCTGCTAGTGTTCCACTGGACTGTCTAGAAGAGTCCGTGGTCGTCATCTATACTCCGCTAGATGACTGGATCAACAACAACAACATCGAGGCCTCTCATCATTTTATCACACATCACCTATTACATCTACCCATGTTTTACCCCAACATTTTCGTAGATATAAAATACATATACAGTTTAAATCATTGAAAACATGTATAACAACGTTCATCTAGCATAGATAGCAAGTATTCAGATAATATGCACACATAGCACGTAATTTATATAAAATACTTCATATCTATGTGTAAGTTGAAGGTAACTATGCACTCACCGGAAAAGGTGGTGATTCCGAACTCAGACAGCGCTTCGCTTCTTAAAAAGAATTTTTCTTCGACGAAACCTAGTATTATTACCGCTAGAGTTTAGTTTATTATTCGTCGAGACTAATTAATAGTCTAGCTATTATTATTATTATTATATAAGCGTCAAAAAAATACTTATATAACCCATAATAATAGCCCAAGTATTTATTATAAGTTCCTAATAACGTTACTATAATTAAATAAAAGTTATATTAAAAATAGCGTAGGCGTAGCTCACTTACAGCGGGTTTTATAGAAAACCGGGCTTTGCTTGGAGCAGCGTTCCCGAGCCGAAAAGCTCTTCTTCTCAGAGCCTTCGAGCACTCCAGGGCTTCCGCCTCGTGCTAGGGAGGTTCCCTAGGCTTTTCGGGGGATTTCGGGGCTAGAGAGAGGTTCTAGAGAGAGAGAGAGTAAAGAGAAGAAAGAATGGGAAAGGTGTGAAGAAAATGAGGGTGGGAGAGGTGGTATTTATAGGGTGAAATGTGGCTGAACTTGGTGCCACATGTCACCATCTGGTGGCAAGCCTTGGGGAGAAAGCAATGGCCAAGATTGTGCCACATCACCCATTTTCGCACAGCACACTTCCGACTTCTAAAATCCGTAACTTTCACATACGACCTCCGTTTTTGACGTTCTTTATATCCACGCGTAGGTAATAATAAGATCTACAACTTTCATTTTGACACCGTCAGCTAATTCTCGACCGATCTTAAATTTAACAGTACAAGGAGATTATACTGTTAAACGTCTGCGTAAAATTAATAACTTCTACATACGGACTCTGTTTTTGTCTGTCTTTTTACCATTGATTTCCTATTAATGAGATCTTCAACTCTCATTTATGTTGCGTAAGCCAAAAACCGCTTGAACTAAAATTCGAGTTTCAGGCCGTGCACTGCTAAGCCGAATCTTAGAAAAATCATAACTTCTTCATACGAAGTCAGATTTGGGCGTTCTTTTTATCGATGTTCTTAGTTTTATATATTCTATGACTTTTGTTTAGATTGATAAGGCTAAAAAGTCTTCTATCGTAAATTCACTATTTACGTCTCCCGGTATCGTGCCGGTTTTGTCGTAAAACTTCGGCGGGCCATAACTTCTTCTTTATAGCTCGGATTTCGGCATTCTTTATATGCACGGAAACCTTGAGACATATTCTACAACTTTATGTAGAGATATCGGGATTATCTCACACTTTAATTTTGACGCTCATTTTTATTCTTTATTAATTATACATTTATAATTAAATAATAAACACATAAACACACATAATTCACATAATACTCAAATATTTCATATTTATTACTTCAAAAAGAGTTACAATAGTTGACCTAGACTATTACATTGACAAAAATGCTTAGCCCTGAAAACCCGGGCGTTACATCATTGGTCGTAAACCCTAGTTTTTGGTCAAAGATTGGCCTTAAACTCTTCTTTAAGCTATGCATGGGACCTAGAACACTTCTGGGAGGCTAGAAAGGACCTTAAAACACCTCAAATGCACACTTCATCAAGAGTGTATGGCCGCAAACTCCTTGTCCGTACACCCATTGGGCCGAAAACTCCTTTAGGCCGCAAACTTCCCTCTTTCAATCACACATGATTCTAACACTTAGTTTCAAGTGTTTCCTAGTCTCTAAGGTGGCTTCCCTTCATAATTGGTGGTGTTATACCCTAATCTAATACATATATGTGCTATTATATATTAAATAGGATCCGTCTGCGTTCGAGACTCACTTGGCACTCAATATTCCTATCGACCTTACATTCGAATCCCTCATCAAACAGTGAGTTCATACCCCTACGCTTTTATAGTTTTTTTTAAATGTTTTTAGGGGGAATACAAGCCAAACACAAAGGATTTTTGTGAACTAAAACAAAATATTTTCAACGAGTTAAAACTTATGCAACTGATAAAAACCAACGCATTTCATAAAACATATAGATATTTTATCCCTTTTGTATTATGCTAAGCAGAAGGGATGCTTTCTAAACATAATTGCATAGTTTTCAGAATAGATCACAAACTTAACATTTCATTCAAACTATAATGAGTATAGTTTGGGGAATTCATTACTAGTTTTACCAATACAAACTACTTACATAGCCAACCATATAAACTATAACAGATTTAGTTTATTACATACATTACTACAAGAGTACAACAGTTAATAATTATTTAAG